CAGGGATGAAGCCTGCGTTGTCTCGGGTCTCTCTGAGAGCTGCCCCATCTCTTGGATTGAGGTGGTTGTGTAAAGACAGCATGGTTTGCCCATGGCCGTGGGGGTTCCATACCACAGGGATTTGATTTGATTTTATTTTTTCTTTTTCTGTTTAAACCACTGTGTGCTTCTCCAGGTGGTCAGTTTGGTTTGGGGGATGTATTTCAGGGGGAGACATTTGCAATGTGCAACTACATGAGATGCAGCCCCTTGGCCAAGAGTCACCTTGGATGGGGAATTAGCAGGCGGGGAGTTGGGACAGCGAGTGAGCACCATGGGCAGCCACCACGGCTGCTGAGCGTCACGTACCCCATGGTCCCACTGGACCTCCGCCGGCTGCCAGCCCCTTCATGCAGCCGAAGTGGCCTCATGGGGTCCAAGCTGGTTTTTTTTCCCAGCAACATCATTTAAACATGAGTTGCCCAAGCTCTCCAGAGCCTTCTCACAGCCTGTCCTCAAGCCAAAACTGAAGTTGGTACATCATTACAGCAGCTGCCCCAACCAGCCATCTTCTCCCAAGGCTGGGTTGGACCCAAGGCATGTGGCTCTCTGGGGGCCAGCAGGTCTTTCCCCCTTGGTGGCATGTGTGATGTTGGAGAGACTGTGTGGCTTCACGCCGAATATACTTGAAAGCAAAGCTGGAGTTTCTTATGCATGAGGCTCCAAAGCAACGCACAGAAATCCCGTGCAGGTAGCTGCTCTGTTTGCTCCTGCCAAGCTCAGGGCTGGGAGGTGGCTCTCCATTGCCTGACAGATCAGCCCTTTCAAGGTTCAAGCCCTTCTGTGGCCAGCTAAGATGCACAGAGCTTTTATTTTTAAATGCATATGTATAAAACCAAGGCCGATGAGGAGCACTGCAATAAACACTGGGTTTTATTGGCATCCACCTTCCTAGAAATGGAGTTTGAGTTTTGCAGTTTCCCACTCATGGTTCTGCCCTCCACACGGGGATGGGGAGATTCACCTGTGGGCTTGGGCAAGTCCCCATGTCCAAAAAACCTGAAACCAGCCCCTAGCAGTGCCATTACCCCATTAGACAGAGTCCCTATGGGCAGAAAGAGGGGTGGGTTTAGGTAGCTTCCTAATGACCTTTTATAATAATGATGGTTGGACTTGATGATCTCAGAGGTCTTTTCCATCCTTAATGATTCTATGAAATAAAGCCATGAAGTGTGTCTCCCCTTGGGCCACAGAGCAGAAGTGATAAGATGAGCTGGAGCTGTCATGGGCTGGCTCTCCCCAGGGTTTTGAACCTTGTCCATGGCTGTGGGCTAGTCTTGTCCTGAGTGCAGTAGCCAGGATCAGCACAGCCTGGAGGAAACAAGCACCGATGCTGCGGCAAAGTGTGGGATTTGTTTTGTTTGGTTGGTTTTTCTCCCTGGTGTTCAGTGCAGCACTAACTCACCACCACGTGCACCTTTAAAGGCAGCTTGGTTTTTCTCTTCCAGCTCAGAGTGCTGCCTTAGATGGTTGCAAGCACTTGGAGGTTAAATTAAGCCTGTTCACTGGTGAGTCCAACCCTGCCACATCTCAGCCCCTGCCTAACAGCAAGGAAAACTGTGGTCTGTGCCATAGCTCGTGCCCATGATGTGCGTTTCTGGGCCTGAGCCGTGCTCAGCTGTGGCTGGACAGCATGAGATCTGACTCTGCTTCTCCCGACACCGGGTCAGGAGTGTCCCACAGGAGGCAGTGACCTGCCCCAGCACACCGTGGGACAGCGGGGAGGACAGGACATTTGCACCAGGGCTAGGGTGTGTGGTCCTCACACCGGTTTGACTCTAGGACGTGACACAGGGTGTGGGCAGGATCACATCCATGAGCTGGAGATGCAGTTCTGTGGAGCTGGAATACTCAGGAGCTCCTGGCCAGCACGAGGGACGGGGTGATTCAAGCAGCACAGCCTGGGCTGGGTGGGTGTGAGTCCCCTCCAGATGCTGCTGTGGGGCCCATAAAGCTGCCCCAGGGCTGGTTTGGGCAACAAGTACCTCTCTGTCCTCAGAGCTGCTTTGTGGGGCCCATAAAGCTGCCCCAGGGCTGGTTTGGGCAACAAGTACCTCTCTGTCCTCAGAGCTGCTTTGTGGGGCCCATAAAGCTGCCCCAGGGCTGGTTTGGGCAACAAGTACCTCTCTGTCCTCAGAGCTGCTTTGTGGGGCCCATAAAGCTGCCCCAGGGCTGGTTTGGGCAACAAGCACCTCTCTGTCCTCGCAGCTGCTTTTTGGGGCTGCCAGTGGTGGCACCAGAGATGGGGCCGTGTGTTTCCCAGCAAAGGATGGAGCAAGGTGGAGGGACCACATCCCCACCAGCCTGGCGAGGGCTGGCAGAGCATCACAAACCGCTGGCACGCAGCTGACCCACGGCTCTGCAACTGCTTCTGCTCCTCCACGCTCTCCTGTGTGCCTTTTATTTTTCCTTGAAAAGCCTCAGGTTGCAGATGTCACATATCTTTCAGGTGACAAGCACAGTTTCCAAGGCAGGCAGAGGTGGAGAGGAGAGGGAAGGAGGTGATGGTGACCTGGACCTGGCTCTGAGCACAGGGAAGCACTCTGGGAGGGTGCTGGTGGGAGCCTTCGCACCCTTCCCATGGCCAGGGGCTGCTGGGTGGAGGTGTCCCTGGCTGGAGTGGCACCACCAACCACAGGGGAAAGGATGTCAAAAGCAAAGACGCTGTCTCTGACGTGTAAGACCTGCCCTTGGCTGGGCGCTGGGTTTGGGCATCGACCAAAATCAACGGGAAAGTTCCAGGAGGTTTGGGTGCCCTCAGCTGCCGGGAGCGGGGTGGGGGTACAAGCACCCAGCACCCTTATGGAATTCACCCCGAGAGC